ATTGTCCTTATTGTCTAAGCCATTTTTAGTTCATGATTCTATTGCTGCCAGCTGAAATGTTGATCAAAAAGAGAACATATTGGGCCGGCCCGGTGGCACACTGATACAGTGCGCCGCTTGGTAGCGCGATGGCGCTCCTGCTGAGGGTTCGGATCCCACATACAAACCGGTTCCCGCTCACTGGCTGAGCGAGGTGCGGGCGCGACGCCGAGGGTTGCGATCCCGTTGCCGGTCCCGGTCCAGTACGGGCGCGACACTGAGGGTTGCGATCCGTTGCCGGACACGAAAAAAGACAAAAAGGAAAAAAAAAAAAAAAAACAAAGTAGGTACTTCGATATACTTTGGTTAACCTCATTCTGTAGATGAGGAAACTGAGGCAGAAGAGCTTGGCCATGGTCATAGTGATTGGTAGAGATGAGGTTCATACCCAGACCATCTGGACCCATAGCTGCTTTCTTAGTCAACATGCAACAGTGCACTGAAAACAAGAAGTGGCACGGGGGTGACCACGCAGCGAACACTACATAATATGATCCTCTCTGAAAGATGGACAGAGTATACTCACACGGGAAAGCATCTGAACAGTCCGGTGGCACACACAGTGCTACTTGTGTGTGAAGTGCATTGTTTGGAACTCATCTGTTCGCATCCAGCACACCAGAATTTGATCTGTTGCAGCCACTTCTCCAGGTGGGTTTATTTGCAGTGCTCCTCATGGTAGCAAGTGCTTCATCAGTGTTTGGACCTGTGATTCTGTGAGTTTGCTGACATCTGAGGCTCTAGGAAGTCTGTTGATTGTCAGGATTAGACAAGTACTACCATATACATATTGAGAACTTGTTGCACATTGAAGTTTCCTGCAAATATCTCAGTAATGATGTTGTACCTTCACTTTCAAACTGCCTTCCTTTCATTTTGTCATCCCCCAAATAACATTTAGGATAATGCAGTAATGAGAAAAGTTGTTCATTTAGAAGGAGATTAGAATATATACATGAATTAGGACATACCTGTATTTGAAAATAAAATACAGCTTTTATTCTCTCCTGGATAAATTAAAGATGGTCTTTGGGAAGTTTATCAAAACTGAATATAATATTGAAAAGAGAGTGATTTCTAAGCCTGTGGGCATAGCATGCTATATATGCTAAAAATAATGAAATTTTATTTATTTATTTATTTATTTTTTCCTTTTTGTCTTTTTTTCGTGACCGGCAACGGATCACAACCCTCAGTGTCGCCCCCGTACCGGACCGGGACCGGCAACGGGATCGCAACCCTCGGTGCTGCGCCCACACCTCGCTCAGCCAGTGAGCGGGAACTGGTCTGTATGTGGGATCCGAACCCTCGGCGGGAACGCCACCGCGCTCCCAAGCGGCGCACTGTAGCAGTGCACCACCGGGCCGGCCCCTAAAAATAATGAAATTTTAGTAATTTTCTTTGTATTAGAAAAATTATAATAGGTGGTTGATAAAAACTTACTCCGTGTTAGTCTAGTTTCTAAAACAAGTCATACTTTAACTTACTGATATCTAAACTATTATGTAGGGTATGCAGAGGGGCCAGATGGTCTGAAGGAAAACATTTTTTCACCTCCTTTTGTTTTAGAAAGTGAACCTCAATTTAAGTGATTTTTCTGTTTTCATCTGGGTTTGCCTTCTGTCACATATTCTAGGAATAATGTCCATAAATATCAAACTTCTATTTTTACTCAAATCTACAACAAATCTTGTTTCATTTTCACTCTTCTCTGTTTTCAAGTATTTGTGGAGGTCTGATGTCATAGAGCAGCTGTCCCTTTGCTTACTGGGAAGAACAATAGCGTCTCTTTCTTGATCTTTCCCATTTAGCCTCTGACAGTGACGGCACCATCACTAACCATTGCGGAGAATATGGCTGACCTGATCGATGGATACTGCCGGCTGGTGAATGGGGCCACACAGTCTTTTATCATCAGGCCTCAGAAAGGTGAGGTCCTATTTCTGTTTGAGCATTCCCAGTTGCGTTCCTACTGAATTGTTAGATGAGATGACCCCCAAGAGCCTGTTATCCTTTTAAGTAACTCTGTAAACGTGAAGACCATGTAAATAATTCAGCCCAGTATAATCTGAATTTGTTGTTTTTCTAGGGATAGTGATCTAGTTCAGATTTTCCACAGCCCAAGAGCTGAGTTTCAATACAGCAGAAACATTGTCTGTATTTACAATACTGTGTTTTGAGCTACCTACTTGGAGTATTTACTGAATTACCATTAGTATTTTTAGATAAACTTTAGGGATTATATTCTGGGTTTTAAAAAAAAGTGTCTCTTGTAACTCACATTAATAAAGTCCCTTTTCTTTTATTTCCTATATATCGTAAAAGCTTAGAGCAGGTAAAGAACAAAATAAATACTAAGTCATGATGTAAAATCAAATATTAGAATGAATAAATATCCTAGAAACAAGGCTGTATCACTTCAGAAATGATGTGAAGTTTTTGTAAACATATAACAAGAGATGTTTCAGAGGATTTGGATTTCTGAAATAATCAAATGAAAATATTCCCAGCAAGATAATAGCATAGTGTGAAGTAAGAAAAGACTGGGTTTTGGTGTGAGTCCCCTGTGCTACCCTCTAGAATTACTTAACTTTTCTGTGCCTTAGTTTCTTCATCTATAAAACATGAAGAGCAGTATCTGTCTTTTACAGTATTGTTAGAATAAAGGACTTCATATATGTAAAAGGCTTGGAACTGTGCCTGATACAATTTTCAAAAATACTGTATTAATTTTGATTATGAGGTTCTTCATCTGTGAAAGAAGAATGATACCTGCTTTGTAGGGTGTTAGGTGGGTCCCAAGTAGTAACCAAAAAGCAGCACACACTGTGGTAGGTGGGCACTACCTGGGTTTTATCCTTATTGCTGAGAGCACCCCTTTCCAGCACTCACCTGTGTGACTAGGATGACTGTAAAGAATCCTGAAGCACCAACTGTGTGTCCAAGTGAACAGAATTGGGTTAAATAGTGAAGAGGATGGATCAGGGCCCAAGTGAAGTGCATGGCAAAGTGCTGGACTCCTGGCGTGGGAACGCAGAGGACCCAGCCTGCCTGACAGGGAAGTGCTCTGCTTACAGACGGTTTGAGGGAGGGGTGGGGAGAGAGAGAGAGAGAGAGAGACTCTGTGTGTGTGTGTGTGTGTGTGTGTGTGTGTGTGTGTGTGTGTGTGTGTGTGTGTGTGTGTGTGTGT